ATAAGATTTCATACAGTGCAATGTACCATAACAGGATCTGTTTGGTTTTGGCTTATTGTATGGTCTAAATTCAGCCACCCTGGTTTGTGAAATGTCGCTTATGATTTATAAGCCACACTCATGACATAACAGGCTGTGTGAATCCAGCCAATTATCCAGCCTGGAGAATAGGCATTACATTCACAGAAGAAAGACTGAAGGAATTAGGAATATCTAGATATAAGAAGAGGACTGTGGAAGCACATGTTCCTTACCTGAAGGGAAGCCCCTAAGAAGAAGATCAAGACCTGATCACCATAATGTAAGAATGGATTTAAGCTTCAGAAAGTCAAATTCCAGTTGAATGCTCAAATGTCTTGACCATAAGAGAAACTCCACAGTAGAACAAATTATCCAGAAAGGTGCTGGGGTTCCATTCATTGGATGTCTTCAAGCAGAAGCTAGACAGCCCAAGATCCTTTAATTTGGATGATGGCACTGACTACTTCTTTGATACTATGATTCTAATGTGAAAACCCAATCACAGTTTGGGTTCACACATGCCAGAGATTGACAATAATTATTTTTAAAATTATGTTAGGTCTTCTTTAGGTTTTATGCTATTTTTTTTAGTGCTTCTCACTTCAAAATGGCAAGAAACCTGCCCATTTTCATGAACCACAGTCAGAGTTGAGTCTGGGGACCTCTAAAAAGAAGCTTGGAGGTTAGAGCAGGCCTGCAGTTGCCCATTTCTGAGCTAAGCCATGGTTTGCTTTAGATGTGGCTTACTGAGTAAGTTGCCATTCACAAAAACTTGTTAATCTAAAACCAGTTGAATCACATTATGGTTTAGAATGCTGTGTGAATACAGCCTTTTGATGGCTTGGTGGCAATCATACAGAAAAAAAGTGTCCATGTTCCAAAACAGTTCAGACAACTAAACAGAACACACAGCGTCTCTCTCCTCTCTCTCTCAAATAGAAGCTGCTTCTCGAGAGCTAATCATAAGGATGCAAGTTGCATGAGCAGGAAGAAAAGATTTATCCCTTTCCCTCTCATTGCAAAAAGACTCCAAGCTTAAGTTAATACTTTTGTTGTGAGAAAAAGCCTGACTAGCACCAGTGGAATGAAAAATACAGGCAAGATGCCCTGAATCAGTCTCCTCTGATTCAAGAGAAATTCATACAACCACACTGACAAGCTAAGAGCATGAGTAGAGTGGCTCCATGCAGAGTTATGCATCTAGTTCAGCTATTATCCAGCTGTGATCATCCACACTGAATACTCTCTGGAATAACTCTCTGTACATTTTCAATTTGTCAGTTTAATTGTGTGAATTGTTCCGTTCATCATTCCCGAGTCATATTCCTGTTTTTCCTTTACTCACTTTGGTACACAGCAAAAGCACTTCAGGCAAGTGAAAAGTCAGCAGCTACACCACAACTACCCAGGTGATTTTTCTGTAATGGGCATCACACAGGCAGGCTATTCCTCATGGTGCTTCAGCCCATCTAATGCTCAGTGAAACATAAAACATCAACTCTGAAATCTTAGTGGTTTGTAGGATCCTTAAGGAGGAGAAAGGATCTGGGTGCTCTTGAGTGTCTGGCAGGCTAGAGGTGGTGGTGGTCGAGGGCCTTCTATAGAGCAAGTTTGGTCCAGCAACCGGATTCCCAGACTCCTAATGCATGCATCTTATTGGATGTTCAGCACGAATGTAAGACGCCAACTTCATACCATGCATCTACTCTCAGTTCACTAAACATGATATGCCTCAAGCATTATGGGATTTATGCCAGATGGATCTTTGTCCTAGTGTTGCAGAGCTGAAATATGTGTGAAAACAACCTTTCATGTGTACAACTTAAGAAAGGTTTAATTTGTGGGGAAACTCTTAAAAATGGTTCTATGTAGCACTGAACTAAATGAAATTGTAAGGATAGTTTGCATGATTAATTTCACATGACTAGAGTAGGGCTATAGCGGAACAGTGCATAACCATGAGATCTACAGTATATAAGGTATGAAACTGCTCTGTCTAAACAGGGATGCAACTTTTCTTCTGTGTTGCACTAAGTGATAATGGGATTGCTTTGGTTTTGGTATGGCGTGCTGTGTGAATCCAGCCACTGTGGTTTGCAAAACATCATTTATGACTTCATGCATTGTGAGAACCAGTTGACTGTGACTTATATATAAAATATAGATTTAACCATAACTGCAGTCACGGACTGGTCAGTCAAATCATATCTTTTTTTTCTCCAACCTGGAAAAATGGCAAAATATCATTCAGAAAGCTTATTGTGCTTAATTAGAGCTTCCATTATGTTTGAACAATGGTTGAGCAAAACTCAAAGATATAGTTCAAATAAAGCACTACATTATCCCTCTAACTACACCGCCCACTCTCTAGGCCTTGTAGAGATGCAGACACAGTAACAGGTTAAGTTGGATCAAATTCTGATTTTTAATGGGGAAGGGGGTTTGCATCTGTAAATCTGCCACAGGATGAACAATACTAATTCAGTGAAATGAAATAACAGATTTTTTTTTAAAAAAAAAAAAATTTATTTGCCTCGTTTTTTAAAAAAAAAGCACAAACATTATTATTCCTTATTTGATTTATATGGGCACCTCTCAGACAAGAGCTCATGCAGCGTAGCAGGTTTTGAAGCAAGATATAAAATGCTTTAGAAACACATGCAC